CTGGCCGCAATCGGCCGCAATTAGTCATTTTAAAGTGTACAGTTCAGTGACATTTAACATTCACAATGCTGTGCAAACACCACTTCTCCCTGGTTTCAAAATTTTTTCATCACTGCAGAAGAATACCTGTACCACATGTAAGTAAGCACTTCTCATTCTCACCTCCCCTGGCAACCACTAATCTGCTTTTTCTCTATTGATTTGCATATTCTGAATATTTTAAATAAATGGAATCATACAATATGTGATTTTTTGCATCTGACTTATTTTACTTAGTATAATGTTTTTGAGGTTCATCCAAGCTGTAGCATGTATCAGTACCTCATTTCTTTTTATGGCCGAATATTATTCCATTATATGGATTTGCCACAATTCATTTACCCATTTATCTTCTGATGGACAGGTAGGTTATTTCTGCTGTCTGGCTATTATGAATAATGCTTCAATAAACATTCATATACAAGTTTCTGTGTGGATATATGTTTTCCTTTCTCTTGGCTATCTACATGGGAGTAGAATTTCTAGGTCATAATATATGTTTAACTTCTCAAAGAATTGCCAAAAGGTGTTTCATAGTGGCTGCATCATTTACATTCCCACCACCAATGTACAAGGATTTCTATTTTTCCATATCCTAGCCCTTACCAACACTTCTTTTCTGGGTTTTTTTAGTATTTTGTTTTTTCATTATTGCCACCCTAGTGGATGTGAAATGGCATCTTGTTGTTTTGATTTGCATTTCTCTAATGACAAATGATATACATTTTTTCATGTGCTTATGGATCAAAGGTATTTCCTTGGAGAAATGTCCATTCAAGTCCTTTGCCATTTCAAAATTTGGTTATTTGTCTTTTATTATTCAGTTTTAAGAAATTATGGCCAGGCGCAGTGGCTCACACCTGTAATCCTAGCACTTTGGGAGGCCGAGGAGGGCAGATCACTTGAGGTCAGGAGTTCGAGACCAGCCTGGCCAACATGGTGAAACCCTGTCTCTACTAAAAATACAAAAATTAGCCAGGTATGGTGGCAGGCGCCTGTAATCCCATCTACTTAGGAAGCTGAGGCAGGAGAATTGCTTGAACCCAGGAGGCGGAGGTTGCAGTGAGCCAAGATCATGCCACTGCACTCTAGTCTGGGTGACAGAGAGACTCTTGTCTCAAAAAAAAAAAAAAAAAGAAAAATTCTTCATATATTTTCAGTTACGTTTCATCAGGAACATGATTTACAAATGCTTTTTCACATTTTTTGTGGGTTGTCTTTCACTTTCTTGATGATATATTTTGAAGCACATATGTTTTTAGTTTTAACATTCAACCTATGTTTTTTGGTTTTTACTTCCAGTGTCATATCTAAGAATCATTTGCCAAATCAAGGTCAGGAAGCTTTATCCCTATATTTTCTTCTAAGAGTTTTGAGTTTTACCTCTTACATTTAGGTTTATGATTCATTTTAAGTTAATTTTTGTAGATAGTAGGAGAGTCCAACTTCTTTCTTTTGTATGTGGATATCCAGTTATCCCAGCACCATTTGTGGAATAGACTGTTTTTTCCTGTGTTAAATGGTCTTGGCACCCTTGTTGAAGATCAGTTGACTACAGACACATGGGTTTAAACCCATAGATGTATAGGTACAGTTGATTACAGAATTACCAAATAACAATTTCTACTTGTAAATCTATACTCAAAAGAATTGAAAACAGGCACTCAAACAAATAAATGTACATGCATATTCACAGCAGCGCTATTCACAATAGGCAAAAGACGGAAACAACCCAAATGTCCATTAAGGGATACATGGATAAACAAAGAGTGGTATATACATACGATGAAATAGTAGTCAGCCATAAAAAGGAATGAAGTACTGACACATGCTATACCATGGGACATTATGCTAAATGAAAAAAGCCAGACACCAAAGATCACATACTGTCGAAATCCTTTTATATTAAATATCTAGAATGGGTGCATCCATAGACACAGAGAGCTGTTGGTGGTTGCCAGAGTCTGGAGGCAGGGGGAACTGCTAATGCTGAATCCCTGAGGGTTTCATTTTGGGATGATGAAAATGGGTTGAAACTAGATAGATACCACATGTGTTGCGTGGTGGTACATAACATTGTGGCTGGACTTAAATGCCACTGAATTATTTCTCTTCCTTTTCTTATAAGGGCACTAATCCCATCATTCTGGCTCCATCCTCATGATTTCACCTAAACCAAATTATTTTCCCAACGCCCCACTTCCTGAGACCATCCCACCGAGGGCAAGAGCTTCAAGATATGAAGTTTGTGGGGAATGCCAACATTCAGTCCATGACACTAAGCAGAGTCTTCCTGTACTCTTCCCACAGCTTCCTGATGCAGTTTTCTACATTGTCAAATGTATCAGCTCATGTCAGTCCATTTTTTCCCTGGAGCCCTTTGTCTTCATGTTATAATCCAGACCTGAAGCTCATTAAGCCTGCTACACAGCTGTTGTCCTAGAAATTTAACTCTCTCCTGCATTGAATCTCCTGTTTCCTGGATCCCATGTCTTCTTTCTTCCTTTACATCTTCATTTTGGTGGCACACATTCTCCAGTAGTTTCATGAGAAAGGATACCTTAGAGAAAATTTTTGTGTGTATCTGAAACCACTATTATTCTACCAACTCTCTTGATTGTTTGGGTAGAGATTTCTGGGTTGCAATTCATTTTCCCTCAGAATTTTGAGGCCATTGCTTTATCATCTTAAGATTATCGTTGAGAATTTGATGTTGTTGTTCTTAATCTTTTCTATCTACCCTTGTCCTTTCTGAAAGTTTTTGAAATCAGAGACATCTTTCTCTGTGGTGGTCTCATATTTCACAGTGATAAAAGGTAAATGTCTTCTGTCATTTTTTCAGCCCCTTGAAAAGTTCTTACGTTATTTCTTTGATAGTTCTCTCAGTTTTCTCTCTTCTGACTTTCTGGAGAAAAGATCATCTGATTTAATCATGCATTTCTCCTATTGCACATGTATTTGTATAATTCTTTTCACCTTCTAGGAGATCGACTCACCTTCTTTTTCCTTTCTATTGCATTTTAATTTTGTTGAGTAAAATTTTAATTTCTAAGAGCTCATCTTGTTTTCTTCCTCCTCGTCAATCCAACCCATCCCCCGTCTTTCCCTGGTATCGCTGCCTTTCCCCCTTTCCCTTTTTCTGCCCCTCCTTCCTCTTTATCCCCTCTTCTTTTCATCTCTCCTTCCTGTGCTCCTCCTCTTCCCTCTCTCTCCGCCTGCATCCTGTTCTCCATCCCTTGCTGTATTATTTTCTTTTATCTCTGAGGGCAGAGATTATGGAATTTTTAATTTGTTCTCCATTTACTCTATTTTAGTTATCTTTCGTCTGAGCCTGCATTCTGTTTCCTCCAAGTTGCTCTTATCTATGTTTTGGTTTTGGTTATATTTGATGTCCATTCATCTCTATGGGCAAGGCTTTGCAAAGCTGATTGGAAGATGTGTGTGAGTGGGGTGGGTGGAATGGTAGGCTTCACTGTAGAATAACAGAGCATGATCCAGTTGATTTAGCTGAAGGACACCCAGATGTCTGTGTTTTTTGAGGGGCTGTTCTGTTCCTTCAATAATAAAGATCCTTCAGTATCCTCCATGTAAATAAAAGTTGCCCTTCATTTATTATTTGCTAGTATTGGGATTTAAACATCACATTGCCTTAAAGTAGGACACAGCTCAGTTTATTCATTAAAAGAGTTGGACTTGATCCTTTCTACCTTATAATAACTCTATGAGGCTTTGCTACAACCTCTATTTGGAATAATTTAAAGGCATTTAATAGCTTAATATAATATATATATAATACATTAACTCATATACTTTCTCTACAAAGAACCTGTGTGGGGCACAGTGGTGGGGAGGGTGGCTACTAATATACCAAACACATTTTGTGCCTTCTAGGAGATCTGTCATCTATATCAATTAGCATAATGTAAGACAAAATCATAAATGAGGCTGGGCCAGATGGCTCACATCTGTAATCCCAGCACTCTGGGAGGCAGGTGGATCACTTGAGACCAGCCTGGGCAACATAGCAAAACCTCATCTCTACAAAAAATTAGCCCTGCATGGTGTTGCACGCCTGTAGTCCAGCTACTCAGGAGGCTGAGGTAGGAGGTTCGGCTGAACCTGGGAAGTCGAGGCTGCAGTAAGCAATGATCACACCACTGTACTCCAGCCTGGGAGACAGAGTGAGACCCTGTCTCAAAAAAAAAAAAAAAAGAAAAGGAAAAAAAAAAGTCATAAATGAAAGGCAGACATACCTGGCTTTGAATTGCAGCACTGCCTCATACAAGCTGTGTGACCTTGGGCAAGTCAAAATCCTTTTTGAGTCTGTTTCCTCATTAATTCCACTATGTGACAGACCCCGTACTGACACTGGAATAAGAGTAGCAGATAACAAATGTACTTCTCTCCATGGAGCTCATATTTATTACATGTTGTTACTAGCTACAATTCTATTTTAATGCTCACATTTTTTATACCCTGGCATTTGTGGTTAAAGTAATGCTAACACATATTTTGTGTCCATACACTATACTTTTAATGATCATTTCTTAAGAATATTTTGTTCATTTACACTGTTTGGTTTTTTTAACTTAAACTTGAAATGTTAAAAGTTTAATGAACTATCATAAGTTGGAAAATTAACTAAAATAGACAGTATTTGTTTAGCAGAATTCATTAGAGGGCCGTGTATCCTTTAGTGTATAAAAATCTTTTTAGTGTAAAAATATTTGCTCTAATCTTTTGCTGATTGTGGTTTTTATGCTAGCTCTTATAGGATATTGTTAACATCTAAGTCTAGGAATTGGGATTCCCAAGATACTGATATAAAATGCTGTAACAGAAATTTCTGTGCTTCTGAGATTTATAGAACTCGAGATTCTTTTAGAATGAGTGTTCTTAAAGCAGTATATCCCTAAGGGCATTCATGGTTGCTTTTCTCTCTTCTCCTTTTCTCATTTTAGGGAAACTAAAACCAACAATGGCATTCATGTCAGGAAAATTGAAGATTAAAGGTAACATGGCCCTAGCAATCAAATTGGAGAAGCTAATGAATCAGATGAATGCCAGACTGTGAAGGAAAAGATTAAAAAAAAAAAAAAATATCGACTGCTATGCTCAAAAAGTAAAAAAAGCTCAACAGTTAAAATCTAATGTTTGTTTTCTTCCCTGTTGTGTTATAAGGATATGCACGTTTGTTCTGGAAAAAATAGAATTTGTCTCTAAAAGACCTGAAATTGTAATTAAAACAGCAAGCTAATCAAACATAAGCTTCATTAAGTGGGATTCTAAGACATTATGTGTTTTTATATTTCAAGGGTTTAACCCTTTGAGCCTTACATCTCACTCACTGTCTTTCTCCAAGAAAAGTATTTTGGGCAGCCAGTCAGATCAAGCAGTAAAATTAGCTCTTTGTCATGTAAAATGAAGCTAGTCTGTTTTAAAATTTTTAGTTTTGGATTGTATACTAATGAAAATTTTAATGATGTATTTGATTTTTATATACTTATTTTAAAGAAAATCGTATATAGTGCATTTAACAAAAATCACAAAAAACAAATTAACTACTACTGGTGAGGACTAAATGAAACAATTCATTTTTCATTTTGATAACTAGCTTTCCAGGTAGACTTAGCCATAGGAAAATATTACTAATGTAATTTAACAAATTGCAGTATGTATTCCATGTAAAAATATGTTTAAATTGTCCTAAAACAAAATAATTTTCTCCCTAGGAGTATGCATTTGGCTACCATGTTTTGAAACAGGAACCTTAGGATAGGGCATTGGTATGGGCTGAATTGTGTAACCCCCAATTCCTTCGTTGAAGTCCTACCTCCCATTTCTATTTGGAGATGAGGTCTTTAAAGAGGTGACTGAGTTCAAAGGAGGCTGTTAGTCTAATCCAACACGGTGTCCTTTGGACATAAGAGATACCAGCGATGCGTGCACAGAACAAGGACCAGGAGAGGACACAATGAGAAGGCAGCTATCTGCAAGCAAAGAGAGAGGCCTCAGAAGAAACAAAATCACCAGCACCTTGATCTTTGACTTCTAATCTCCAGAATAGTGAGAAATAAATTTCTGTTGTTAAGCCGTCCACTGTGGGAGGCCAAGGCAGGAGGATTGCTTGAGGCCAGGAGTTCAAGGCCAGCCTGGGCAACATAGTAAGACCCTATCTCTACCCACCAAATAAGTTAATTTAAAAAGCCACTCAATCTGTGGGTTTTTTTTTATGGCAGCCCTCGCAAGCTGATACAGTGGTTTGAGAGGCTGGGAGGGTTGAGGGGAAGATAAACTTTAAAAAAGCTCTTATCTTTCATTTCAATCAGTTAAAAATACTTGCTCAGCGTAACAATTTTGCTTCTCATCTTCCACTCTAATATTATTGTGCCATTAAGCAATTCAGCTAATCCTGACATTTCTTAGAATCATAATGTCAGGAGCATTTAATCTGTATTTTACAAGTTAGGAAGCAGAGGATCAGAGATGGGAAAGGAGTAGCCCAAGGCCAAAATTAACAAGCCCTATCTAACAAAAACTTTCCAATACATTTATGTTGAATGGAACTCCAAGATCTCACCTCTCCATCCAGGAATGGAGTACGTGTAATCAAAGTGAACTTAAAAATAGGACAGTTTCAACAAGTCCAGAGATTCACTGCAACTGATCAAAGGGAGTCCAGTCAACATGAGCCAGCGTGATGATGACGAGGAAGCCCCCTCTGCTTTAATCCACACAAGGAACGTAACCTGAAGTAACCTGATGTGAACCAATCTGCTACTTCTACTATGCTGTTTCCTTGTTCCTGCTAGTGCTGCCTTACAAATGCAGACCGTTCTGTCACACCTGGTGGAGCTTCTGTTTATTTTGTAGGCTGGATGCTACCCGGTTCATGAATCGCTAATAAAAGCCAATTAGATCTTTACAATTTAATTTGTTGAGATTTTATTCTTTGACATTCTTTAAGGTTTGGGAAAATGAGAAGTAGAAAATACCGTGAGGCAGCAATCTCTGGGTTCTGGTCATTAAAACATGAATTTGCTAATTATACCCATTCCAACAGGGGGATTGAGTCAAGGGACCTTGCCGTTTTCTTGACTGACCTGCTTGATTATTGCCCTAAGTGATTGTTAGTTAGGTTGCCCATCGGAATCTCTGCCTTCTGGCTTTAAAATTTTTTCCAAATTGGAGTAAATTGAGCTGACTGGTTTTAAGCTTGTAATGTTAGGGGACCAGCAATGAGTTCCTCTGATCCATCCAATCATTAGATTACACCTTTGTTTTAAACCCATCACAGTCTACTATTCATCCCTTTTTTAAATAACCATTTAAAAATTTTCTATCCTGAATTGCATTTTGAAAGGGATGGTTCCTAGGTAACACAAGGTAGAAAATTTACATCTCAAAGGCAAAGAACTTACATTTCAGGCCCAAATATTGTTATTTGCCAAGACAGAAAGGTGATGCTAAGAAGCCCAGTTAAGACAAAATGGTCGAAGGTGAGGTTTATTTGGACTAATGCTCTCACCTATTGTAAGAATTTCTACTGATTTTCCTTTATAGATACACATTTTTACAAAGAGTTTCAAAATAACTGGCCACATACCAGAAATGCAAATTTTGGAGACTGATTTAATTCAATAGGCGGTCTTTTCAACTTAGCTTCTGTTTCTTAACTAGATTACTGAGTTCAGGGCAGAGCCCATTAGCAAATAGAGCAGACAAAGGGTTTCCTATTTCTGGACTCAGATGGATAGTTCTGAAAAAGAAGCAAACCTGCTTTACCCACGGGCCTAATTTTTATAAATATTACCTAGCATTCTTTTTGCCTTTGGAGTAAAATAGTAACTAAGTGAAAAGGTTGGCAGATTCAATCTTCTTATAAACTAGTTGCTAAAGCTTTTCATTTGCCTTCTACATGGGATCTTTTAAAGAGGCAAACATTTTTGAAATCTTTTTAGAAGCTTTTGCACATCAGTAGGTATCCCTGGGAGGGCCTGATTCAGAAGCCCTCATTTTTAAACTCAATTCTTAGATGAACAAACAGTCTTATTCATCTGGAATGTTCCACATAATGGTCATCATAATTCTCATTTATCTTTAGTAAGATTTCACCATTTTTGTAAGTATTTGCAGCTTCTAGGCCCTAATACATGTAAAAGGCAAACATAGCCAGAAGGTGAAGTACACAGTTCTTTAAAAATTTAAGGGCCGGGCGCAGTGGCTCACGCCTGTAATCCCAGCACTTTAGGAGGCCGAGATGGGCGTATCACAAGGTCAGGAGATCGAGACCATCCTGGCTAACACGGTGACACCCCGTCTCTACTAAAAATACAAAAAAAAAAATTAGCCAGGCGTGGTGGCAGGCGCCTGTAGTCCCAGCTACACAGGAGGCTGAGGCAGGAGAATGGCGTGAACCGGCGGAACGGAGCTTGCAGTGAGCTGACATCACGCCACTGCACTCCAGCCTGGCCGACAGAGTGACACTATCTCAAAAAAAAAAAAAAAAAAAAAATTTTAAGGATGCTGTCCAGGCATGGTAGCTCACACCTGTAATCCCAGCACTTTGGGAGGCTGAGGTCGGCGGATCACTTGAGGCCAGCAGTTCGAGACCAGCCTAGCCAACACGGTGAAACCCCATCTCTACTAAAAATACAAAAATTAGCCGGGTGTGGCAGCGTGGCCTGTAATCCCAGCTACCCAGGAGGCTGAAGTGTGAGAATTGTTTGAGCCCAGGAGGTGGAGGTTGCATTGAGCCAAGACTGTACCACTGCACTCCAACCTGGATAACGAGTAAGACTCTTTAAAAAAAAAAAAAAAAAAAGAATTAAGGATGCCATTTTTAAATTGAATCTTGAGTCTCTCAGAGTCAAGATAAAAGTCTAAGAGTGAAATGCCATGAGGTTGGGTCATTGTGTTTTTTTCCTCTCTCTCTCTTCCCCCCTCCCCCTCTCCCCCTCTCCCCCTCTATGTTTTTCTCCAGGGTTCCTGGCTTATAATTCCTATAGCATTGTTACAAGCTTTTGTTACAATGTTGGGTGTGTCAGGCCTTGCAGGCAGGCCTCAGGAAACGGAATCTCTCTGACCTTCTCTTGCCTTCCTTTCACCTCCCCAAGGCAGAACTGTGGGTCATATAAACCCTCATTCCAGAGAGGATGCTGCTCCATATGCTGGGGGAAAGAATGCCAACTTAATGAAGCCTCCATAAAAACCCAAGAGGACTGGGTTCCAAGAGCTTCTGGATAGCTGAACACATGGAGGGTCCTGGAGGGTGACGCACCTAGGGAGGGCTGGAGAGCTCTGTGCCCCCTTCCCCAATACTGTGCCCTACACATCTCTTCATATGTATCCTTTATTATTTTCTTTACGTTTCTTTACGATAAACTGGTAAATGTGTTTCCCTGAGTTCTGTGAGCTGCACCAGCAAATTAATCGAACCCCAAGTGGGGGTTGTGGGAACCCTAACTTGAAGTCAGTTAGTCAGAATTTCCAGAGGCCCAAGAGTTACAACTGGTGTCTGGGAGGTGGGCCAGTTTTGGGGACTGAGCCCTCGACCTGTGGCATCTAACACTTTGGAGATAGTAGATAGTGGGCAACATCGTGATACCCACTATCTCCAAATAGATAGTGTCAGAATAAAGTTGGAGGACACCCACTTGGTGTCCACTGCTTAGTGTGTGGGAAAACCCCTCACATATTTGGTCACGGAAGTCTTCTTGTGTGTTGGTGATTGTTGTGTTGGTATAAGAGCAGAGGAAAAACGGTTTGGAGTTTTTCCCAAAACAGTCATGTAATGCTTTCATAGTGTACCTCAGTGCACAGATGTTTTCTTTTTTCTGCAGTGCATTCTAGAGTGCAGTGGCATGCTCATAGCTCACTGCAGCCTTGAATTCCTGGGCTCAAGGTCTCAGCTTTCCAAGTCTCAGCTTTCCTGGGCTCCCACCTCAGCTTTCCAAGTAGCTGGGATTACAGGCAAATACCACCATGCCTGGCTTTGTTTTTTTTTTTGTATGGACAAGGTCTCACTTTGTTGCCCAGGCTGGTCTCAAACTCCTGGCTTCAAGTAATCCTCCCACCTCAGCCTCCCAAAGTGCTGGGATTATAGGTGTGAGCCACCATGCCCAGCCTAAATAATTTTTTAAATTCCAGTTTTTAATTATTCTGTGTTAAGATACAGAAATACTTTGTGTCCTGCAATACTGTTAAACCTACTTACTAGTTTTAGCAGCTTTTTTGTAAATCCCTTAGGATTTTCTATGTATGTGATAGTTATCTGCAAATAAAGATGGTTTTATTCTTTAACATTCTATGTGCCTTATATATTTCTTTTCTTGTCATATTGCACTGTTAGACCCACAGTATAGTGGTGAATATGGGTGGTAAGAATGGATATCCCAGCCTTGTTCTTAGTCTTAGGGGGAAAACACTGTGTTTTTTCACCATTAACTATGACAGTTGTAGGGTGTTTTTTTTGTAGATGCACATTATCAGGCTGATTATTGTTTATCTGCTGAGTATTCTTAATCATACGATTGCTGAATTTTGTCAAATGCTAGTCCTATTATCTATTGAGACGATTAGGGTTATTCTCCTTTATTCTATTAATATGGTGAATTAAAATGATTTTTTAAAATTACTTTTACTTTTTTTAGAGATGGGGGTCTTGCTCTGTTACCCAGGCTCATCTCAAACTCTTGGTCTCAAGCAATCCTCCTGCTTTGGCCTCTCAAAGTGCTGGAATGACAGGTGTGAGCCACCTTGTCTAGTCTAAAATGATTTTTTTAAGTTAAAAATATTTATTGTGCTGTTTTCCCCAACCCATGTTTGTTGAAGCCAAATGTACTTAAATAGAGACAAACAGCTGTATCTAGGGGAATGATGGCAGTTTAGGAAGTATCAGGCTTCATTCCCAACCAACAGAAAGTTCACCTAGAAACTATCCACAGGCCAGAAAATCCTTTTGTAAACCCCAATACTTGGAAACAAGTTTGAGACACACATGGTCCACAGAACTGAATGAAATCTGAATTAGAAGGGTAAAGAGAACAGTCTTTTTTTTTTTTTTTTCTTTTTAAGAGACTGTGTCTCACTATGTTACCCAAGGAAGAATGGTCTTATTCCAACTGTGGCACCCCTTTCCCTCCAAGTCAGCACAATGCAAGACAGAAGATTTTCCTGGCCCACAGTTTCTACTAGGGGAAAAGAGAAATTGAGACAGTCATCTAGCTTCCCTAGCGTATTCTGAGATGTTTCCCCGGCAGCCCACTGTGTTTTCCCCTGGAACACTTGGGGAAATGGCATCACTAGACCACTCAGGGCCAGGTAGAAACAATGAAAGGAGGCAGAGGTCATAGTAACCAGCACGTGGATCTTGGTAATACCTTTACATTTCTGCCAGTTGTGGCACCAGATGAGAGATACCGGCCAGTCTCAAAGCCTACCCACAAAACTGAGCTAGTCACTTTCAGAGGCATGGTGGGTATTTCAAGCTAGCTTGAGTCCCTAGATAGCTAGTCTCTGTGCCCAGACTCAGAGCCCACCCTAACAATCCTACTCAAGCAAGGAAACTCCCACCTCCATGCACTGGAGAGAAGGAGCTAGACCAGCTTGACCCAGGAAGCCAAACGAAGATGTACTCAGCCCTCAGCCAAAAATCCCACCTAACAACCTACCCACGCAGGAAGACTCCCACCTCTGAACATTTCAGAAATGCAAAGGGGCCACACTGGCTTGACCTGAGAAGTCAACCAACCACTTAACTCAGCCAAAAGCCTACCCCACAGTTCCATCCTGACAGGCAGGCAATCCTCAATTCTGCATTTTTTTTTTTTTTTTTTTGGAAAATACTCAAATTTTTTATTCCTAAG